GCATCGGTGGCAACAACGGCGACAATACTCGTAGTGGAAGCGCTGGCACTGGCAGTTTCTCGCAATGATACATTATATGCAGGAGGATAGAAAACAGGTCGATTATCGTTGACATCGGTGAGCTGAATTTTAACGCGAGCAATGGTGCTAAGGCCACCTAAGGGAGGTGAGAAAGTAAGGTAACAAGACATACAAATTAGGAAAAATGTAAAAAGTAAACTATTAAATTCGGTAATTTTAAAACAAATTGACGTTTTGACTTATACATATGGTACGTTTCACATTAAATATCCCAGGCTCGCGGAGCGATGCAAAACAGGCTACTTTTCGACTAGCTGGGAAGCACATTTAAAATGGGAAAAATAATTCCAAAAGTATGGTTTCTATAGATTTTTGTACGGGCTATCCGATGGTGCTATGCGTTTTCGAAAATTTTCCCATTTCCGCGGTAAAAATTTGAAACGAAAATTTATTTTTAATATTGTTTTAAGTCCTCTTAATCGAAATATCATTTTTTTTTACATAGAAATTATAAATAAACAAGTAATTTTTAAGCAAAAAGTAACACCGACTTCAATTCTCATATAAAAATTTACGAGTACCGTTGATTTCTTCATGATCCAATGATAAAAATAAACAAGTAATTTTTAAGCAAAAAGTAACACCGACTTCAATTCTCATATAAAAATTTACGAGTACCGTTGATTTCTTCATGATCCAATGATCGCATCTAAACCAAATTAGTATGGGACCACCTCTGAAGTACCACCTTTCCTTATAAAAGAGAACCATAGCAATCGGTTCGGCGGAGCAACCCACTAGGCTGTTTTGTTAGGTGTTCCGAATGTTATTCATGCCAACATATATGCTTTTGTTAGTTTTATCGCAGTTACTACAAAAATGTATTGCCTAGTCAGGTGCATTTTGAGTAGTTGAATTTGAGTCAAACTTTCTGAAACGGGCCACTAGAAACTAAGTAGTAGAATTTCAAATATGTTTTGGTAGATATTCAAAGGTCCATATGTGAAAATTAATCTTCTTAAAATATTTTTTGAAAATTTCAATTTTTCAAAAATTTATTCATAAATGAATTTTTCACCTTCTTTTCATCAATTTTATGTATTGATTGCTATATTTCCGTAAATATTCAATTAAAAATAACCAAATTTTAATGGTATATTCGGAAAAAGTAGCAGAATCGAAAAAAATATTCATACTGGAAATATTTAATTTTTTAATAGTATTAAATAATAATAAATTTCCCAATAAACAATTGACAATTTAACAGACTTCTCCTTGTGTTAAACAAAAAGAAAATAGCGATCTTATTCTATAAAGTATACACTAACCAATCGTGCAAAGTAACAAGTAATTTTTAGCAAAAAAACCGACTTAAAAAATATATATATATATCTATATATTTCATGATTCAATGATCGGATCTAAATCAAATTAGTATGGGACCACCTCCGAGACACTACCTTTGCGTTGCAAAAAGAATTATCCTTTTTGGAAGTCGGTTAAAAAAGTACGAATGTTTAAACATTACCGTGGATACGCGAAACCACTACCGACGTTGGAACGCAGCACTGATAAACCTGGACCCGTTCGTCGTTGCATGCCTACGTTTTAAAAAGTATATAGGTATATTATTATTACATATGTTAATAATTCTTACGATTAATTCTTTATGTTAATAATTATTGAAATCTCAGTTCCTCAATTTATTTTCGAAATCATGAGAAGTTATCAGTTCGTCGGAATATTTTTTTTTGTTTTAATTTTTTTTTGTATGTATGTTACCGCATAACTTTGCACCACGTCAACCGATATCGATAATTCTTTTTGCAGCGGAAAGGTAGTGTCTCAGAGGTGGTCCCATACTAATTTGGTTCGGATCATTGAATCATGAAATATATAGATATATATATATTTTTTTTAAGTCGTTTTTTTTTTGCTAAAAATTACTTGTTATAGTATAGAGTGCACTAAAATATTTTTGCACGATTGGTTAGTGTATACTTTATAGAATAAGATCGTAATTTTTTTTTTGTTTTACGCAAGGAGAAGTCTGTTAAATTGTGAATTGTTTATTCGGAAATTTATTATTATTTAATACTATTAAAAAATTAAATTATTCCATTATGAATATTTTTTTTCGATTCGCTACTTTTTCTGAATACACCACTAAAATTTGGTTATTTTTGATTGAATATAGCAATTAATATGTAAACTTGATAAAAGAAGGTCAAAAATTCATTTATGAATAAATTTTTGAAAAATTGAAATTTTTAAAAAATATTTTAAGACATTAGTTTTCACATATAGACCTTTCAATATCTGCCAAAACATATTTGAAATTCTACTACTTAATTTTTAGTGGCCCGTTTCAGAAAGTTTGACTCTTTGCAACTAACTAAAATAGGTGTAAAGTGGGAGAAGCCGAAGAAATAAATTGATACGAGGCCAGTAGGCTACAATGTTAGGTAGTGAGCAGCTATGTACTCAGCATCTTAAGTTGTAGAGGCTGTGTATCAGATCAGATGAACGATCAGTTGAAAAACGCATTTGTGTTAGCATGGACGCACGATGGAATACGAAGGATTTCACTATATTGCTTTTCGTGCTACACAAAGTTATTCATGTGAAGGCGGCCATCGCTGTGCGTTAGTCATGGGGAATAGTCATGGAAGTTGATGTGCTCCGCAGATGAAAATTGAGGTGGAAAGCATTAATAATTTTCACTACCTGGCGGCCTACGGGGTACCGCTGTTCGTATACGTACATATGAGTGAAATACACAAGTGCTCACAGAGCACTCAGTATGCTATGGCCTGCCGATCACTGCGCTGGATAGAGAAAAGCATGCGTGCCAAGCAATTATTTAGGTATGCATATGACGTGTGCAAACCTGTTTGTCGCAGTTTCGCTATCGCCGAGAGTTGTTATGGTGCGCCCATAATTATTAAAGTTTGAAGCCAATCAGAGTTTCTCAATGAATATAAAATTCATCTGAATTATAGTATGAAAGTGTCTATTTAGTCAAGGAGAAAGCAAAGCACCGTACGTAAACCAGCACTACGAGAAGATATTGACCTACATTTCTCACGACTGATCCTGTTTTATCTTTTTTTTTAGGAAATTATTTCCACCATATACATTCATACATATGTATTATTTACACTATTAATATTGGTGTATATACATATTGTTTAGAGAACAGCTAAACCCTTGAAAACAACATTGCATTATGAAATCTATTTGCTTCAGTATTTTTTCTCTTCACTGTAATACGGCTTATGTATTTACTTTTCAATTGTATGTACGTATTTCTATATAAGCATAATGTAACTAGTGGTTATCACCTTTGTCATTTTCTATTTTCTGCCTTTTGCATGTGCAATGTCATTTAGGTCATACTGTAAATACATAGTATAAGGTTGATAAAACTTTGAGTCTGCAAGAGCAGCTCTGACATTAATAAAAGCAGTTCTTGTACAGACAGCGAACCAAGCAATACTTGTTCATCCTTTTAAATTTATTGGGAAAATTATTGCAAATACAAGTACTGAAAAGGCTCAGTACTTCTTCATTTTGGTGAGCCCGACATGATATTCATATATCACGTGCGATTACATTGCGACATTATTGTTTGCTAAATTCGCCAATTGATTCGTTGTAATTGTCGCGAATTATAAATTGCTATCACTTGTACATATTTGCAAACTGTCTTCATTGAACATTAAGCTTTTACTTAGTTTGCCGTAAGGTATGGCACCGCAAAGAGGGCAGAAAGGTGACACTTTCAACAAAGTGAAACCACGTTTCTCAAAAGGAAATGCGCTTCGTATATCTAAGAGCTTGCTGACATGGAAAAATTTACTAGCGCGGAAGGTCTAAGGGAGCTCATTGAAGAGGAGCTATCTATCCGTTTAGAGCTCTTGGGTGAACTGAAGCATAACTTCGAAACCGTGCAGTCCAAGCTAGAAGAGCATCATTATGAGGAGCTTGAAGCGGATTGGCGTCCCAAATTCACTGAGGGCTACATTCGAGTGAAAACGGTGCTAACAAAGGAGATAAGCTCGCGCCACGTGCCTAAAATGCGGCATTCGTCTACTATTCGCCACCTTGCAGCAGAGGATCAAGCAACTTCAATTATCATCTCTCAACCGAAGGCCCGTCTACCTCCATTGCAGATCCCGAAATTTGGTGGAGCATACACCGAATGGCCCGATTTCTACTCAAACGATGGTGGGTAACGATCCCGAACTGACCAAAATTGAAAAGTTCCAGCATCTACGCACTAGTTTAAAGGACAGCGCGCTAGACGCAATTCGCTCACTAGAAATAACTGACCATAACTACGACAAGGCCGTAGGTATACTCCAAGATCGCTTTAACAATAA